ATATATCACATCATCCAGCTTTTTTTGGGTAAAATTTGAATAAACAAATTTACCATTGTCATTTATCAAAACTAAGAGATTAATGTTAGCATACTATTATTAGGCAAGCTACAGACTTTATTCGATTTCACCAGTTTTTTCACTAATATCCTTTTTCTGTCCAAGGATGTGATCCAAGATACCACATTGCATTTAGTTGTCATATCTCTTCTAATCTGTAACAGTTTTTAGTCTTTTTTTGTTTTTCATGACTTTGTTAGGTTTGCCAAGTGCTGGTTAGGTTATTTTGTAGAATGTCCCGCAAATTGGGTTTGTCTGATGTTTTATTGATGATTAGACTGAGGTTATGGAATTCTGGTAAGACACCTCAGAGGTAAAATTCCCCCAGTCCCCATGACATAATATCATGTATCACATGATATCAACATGACTTATCACTGATGTTATTCACCTTGATTACTTAGTCTCTGGAGTTTCTCCACTGTAAAATTTTACCTTTTCATATTTTATGCATTAGAAACCAGTTTTCTAAATTCAATATACACCCAGGGAGGATAATTCAGTTTCATCTCCTGGAAGAAGCATCAAAGAATATGAACATATGTTACAACTACCACAGAACTAATAAATATTGGTGGGAAGATTCTTTGAGGTTATGTAACTATCCTATCTCTCTTCAAAGTTTTGGCCACCAATTTAAAATTCATCATTAGATTTTGCTTGTAGCAATCATTACTGTGTCCTAATAATAAATTTCTGTTTCCTTTATTCCTTCTATATTTATTTTTGGAAATTTTCTGTAAGGAAGATTTGTCCTTTATTCCCCATTTATTTATTCAGTTATTCATTTGTATCAGTACGTACTTAATGGTTATTTATAAAATAACTTTTTGATATCATTACTGCGTTTTGTACATATGTTCTGACAGGAAGTACATTTTTTTTTTTAAAGAACCCTTTCTATTTTTTAAAAAATCTTTATTTTGAAATAATTTCAGACTTATAGAAAAGTTGCAAACACAATACAGAGAATTCCCATATACATTCCCCCGCAATTCCCAAGTGGCAACATTTTACCATATTTGCTTGATCATTTCTCTTAAGCTCTTTTGTATGTATATTTTTTTCCTCAACATTTAAGAGTAAGCTGTACCATAGTGACCCTTTACCCATAAACACTTCAGTGTGTATTTCTTAAAAATAGGGATTTTTTTTTAAAGCATAACCATAGTTTGTCAAAATCACAAAATTTACATTTGAATGTAATACCATTACTTAATATATAAACCTGATTGAGATTTATCCAATTATCCCAAGAATTCCATTTATAGCAAAAGAAGAATTTTTTCCTCCCTAAACCAGGATCTAATCCTAGGGCCATATGTTACATTTAGTTGTCACATCTCTTTAATCTCCTTTAATCTGGTAGAATTCCTCAGTCTTTGTTTTGACACTTGACACTTTTAAAGTGTCAATTCACCTTGGCACTTTTGAAAAATGTTCCTCAGTTTGGGTTTGTCTGATACTTACTCATGATTAGGTTTAGGTTATGAATACTTTGTAGTAATACCAAAGTGAAACTGTGTATTCATTGCATCTGGAGTCACATGATGTTGATTGGTCCCATTATTAATGATGATTGTTTTGATCACTTGGTTAAAGTGTCGTCTGCTAGGTTTCTCCATTGAAATTCACTGTTTTTTTCCTTTGTAGGAAGATATTTTGGGACTATGTAAATATCCTATTCCTTCTTTTTTTAGATTTTTCTTTTGTTGTTGTTGTTTTTATTTTAAGTTCAGGGTACATGTGTATGTTTGTGATATAGGTAAACTTGTGTCTGTATAACTTTGTTATACAGATTATTTCATCACCCAGGTATTAAGCTTACTACCCAGAAGTTACTTTTCCTGAGTCTCCCCTTTCTCTCACCCTCCATCCTTCAATAGGCCCCAGTGTTCCCTTCTATGTGTCAGTGTGTTCTCATCATTTAGCTCCCACTTGGGAGAATATGCAGTAATTGGTTTTCTGTTCCTGTGTTAGTTTGCTAAGGATAATGGCCTCTGGCTCTATGTATCTGCAAAGGATTGATCTTGTCTCCTTTTATGGCTGCATATACTCCGGGATGTGTATGTACCACATTTTCTTTAACCAGTGTACCATTCATGGGCATTTAGGTTGATTCCACATCTTTGCTATTGTGAATAGTGCTCAGTGAACATACATGTGCATGTGTCTTTATGATAGAACACTTCATATTCTTTTGGGGTATATACCCACCCAGTAATGGGATTGGTAGGTTGATGGTATTTATGATTTTAGGTATTTGAGGAATTGCCACATTGTTTTCCACAATGACTGAACTAATTTATATGACCACCAACAATGTGTGAGTGTTGCTTTTTCTCCACGACCTTGCCAGCTTCTGTTATTTTTTGACTTTTTAATAATAGCCATTTTGACTGGTGTGACATGGTATCTCATTGTGTTTTGATTTGCATTTCTCTAATGATCAGTGATGTTGAACTTATTTTTATATGCTTGTTGTCCACATGTATATCTTCTTTTGAAAAGTGTCTGTTCATGGCCTTTGTTCACTTAAATTTTTTTTTTCCTCTTGTGAATTTGAGTTCTTTATAGATGTTGAATATTAGACTTGTTAGACACATAGTTTGCAAATTTTTTCTCCCATTCTGCAGGTCATCTGTTTACTCAGTTGATAGATTCTTTTGCTATGCAGAAGCTCTTAAGTTTAATTAGATCCCACCTATCAATTTTTTGCTTTTGTTACAATTGCATTTGGTGCCTTTGTCATGAAATCTTTGCCCATTCCTTTGTCCAGGATGGTATTGCCTAGGTTGTCTTCCAGGTTTTATAGTTTTGGGATTTACAGGTAAGTCTTTACTCTATCTTGAGTTAATTTTTGTTTATGGTAGAAGAGGTCCAGTTTCAGTCTTCTGCATTTGGCTAGCCAGTTATCCCAGCATCATTTATTGAATAGGGAGTCTTTTCCCCATTGCTTGTTTTTGTAAGCTTTGTCGAAGATCAGGATTGGTATCAGGATGATGCTGGCGCCATAGAATGAGTTAGGGAGGAGTCCCTCCTCAATTTTTTGGAATAGTTTCAATAGGAATGGTACCAGCTCTTCTTTGTACATCTGGTATGTGGCCTTATTTCTGGGCTCTGTATTCTGTTCCATTGGTCTACATGTCTGTTTTTGTACCAGTACCATGCTGTTTTAGTTAATGTAGCCCTGTAGTATAGTTTGAAGTCAGGTAGCATGATGCCTCCAGCTTTATTGTTTTTGCTTAGGATTGCCTTAGCTATTCAGGGTCTTTTTGTTTCATATGAATTTTAAAATAAGTTTTTTCTAGTCCTGTGAAGAGTGTTATTGGTTTGATAGGAATAGCATTGAATCTGTAAATTGTTTTGGACAGTGTGACCATTTTAATGATATTGAGTCTTCCTATCCATGAGCATGAAATGTTTTTCCATTTGTGTGTGTCATCTCAGATTTCTTTGAGCAGAGTCGTGTAAATTAGAGTTCTCATGTAGAGATCTTTTCACCTCCCTGGTTAGCTGTATTCCTAGGCATTTAATTTTTTTGTGGCAATTATGGATGGGATTGTGTCCTTCATTTGGCTCTTGGCTTGGCTGTGGTTGGTTATAGGAATGCTAGTAATTTTTGTACATTGATTTTGTATCCTGAAACTTTGCTGAAGTTGTTTATCAGCTGAAGGAGCTTTTGGGTCAAGACTCTGGGGTTTTCTAGATATAGGATCATGTTGCCTGCAAATAGGGATACTTTGGCTTCCACTCTTCCTATTTGGATGCCCTGTTTCTCTTGTCTGATTGCTCTTGCCAGGACTGTCAATACAATGTTGAATAGGAGTGGTGGGAGAGGGCATCCTTGTCCTGTGCTACCTTTCAAAGAGAATGTTTCCAGCCTTTGCTCATTCAGTATGATGTTGGCTGTGGGTTTTTTTCATAGATGGCTCTTATTATTTTCAGTTATGTTACTTTAGTACCTAGTTTTGAAAGTATTTAATGTGAAGGTTGTTGAATTTTATAAAAAGCCTTTTCTGCATCTGTATAAATGTGTGGTTTTTATCTTTAGTTTTGTCTGTGTGGCAAATCATATTTATTGATTTGTATATCTTGAACCAACCTTGCATCAAGTAGGATAAAGCCTACTTGACTGTAAGCTTTTTGATGTGCTAGTGGAATCACTTTGCCAGTATTTTATTGAGGATTTCTGCATCAATGTTCAGCAAGGATGTTGACCTGAAGTTTTCTTTGTTGTATTTCTGCCAGGTTTTGGTATCAGGATGATGCTGGCCTCATAGAACGAGTTAGGGAGGTGTCTCTCCTCAGTTTTTTGGAATAGTTTCATTAGGAATGGTACCAGTTCTTCTTTGCACATTTGGTAAGATTTTGCTGTGATTCTGTCTGGTCCTGGGCCTTTTTCGGTTGGTAGGCTGTTTGCTACTGATTCAACTTCAGAGCTGATTATTGGTTTGCTCAGGGATTTAGTTTCTTCCTACCTCAGTCCTGGGAGGGTGTATGTGTCTAGGATTTTATCCGTTTCTTCTAGGCTTTCTAGGTTATGGGCATGAGGTGTTCATAATATTCTCTGATGTTTATTTGTATTTCCGTGGTATAAGGTGGTTATATCCCCTTTGTTATTGCTAATTGTATTTATTTGTATCTTCTTGCATTTCTTCTTTATTAGTCTAGCTAGTGGTCTATTTTATTAATTTTTTTAAAAAAACAACTCCTGGATTTGTTGATCTTTTTAATGATTTTTCATGACTCAGTCTCCTTCAGTTCAGCTCTGATTTTGGTTATTTCTGGTTTTATACTAGCTTTGGGTTTTTTTCTTGGCTCTGTAGTTCTTTTAGTTGTGATAATAGGTTGTTAAATTGAGATCTTTCTAACTTTTTCATGTGAACATTTAGTGCTATAAATTTCCTCTTAACGTTGCCTTAGCTGTGTCCCAGAGATTCTGATATGTTGTATCTTTTTTCTCATTAGTTTCATAGAACTTCTTGATTTCTACCTTAATTTCGAAGTCATTAGGGAGCAGATCATTCTGCTTCCCAAAGTCATTAGGGAGGAGGTCATTCAGTTTCCATGTAATTGTATGGTTTTGAGTTAATTTGTTAGTCTCAATTTCTAATTTGATTGTGCTGTGGTTCAAGAGAGTGGTTGTTATGATTTCAGTTCTTTTGCATTGGCTAAGGTATTTTATGTCCAATTATGTGGTTGATTTTAGAATATGTACCATGTGGTGATGAAAAGAATATATATTCTGTTGTTTTGGGATGGAGAGTTCTGTAGATGTCTATGAGGTCCATTTGATCTGGTGCTGGGTTCAGGTCCTGAATAACTTTGTCAATTCTGTGCCTCACTGATCTAATACTGTCAGTGGGGTGTTGAAGCCTCCCACTGTTATTGTGTGGGAATCTGAGTCTCTTAGAAGGTCTCTAAGAAATTGCTTTATGAATTGGGGTGCTCCTATCTTGGATGCACATATATTTAGGAGTGTTAGGTCTTCTTGTAGAACCCTTTACCATTAGGTAATGCCCTTCTTTGTCTTTTTTAATCTTTGTGATTTAAAGGCTATTTTGCTTGCAATTAGGATTGTGGCAACCCAGAGTGGTGGTACCTGGAGTTACTGTCTGGTTCTCCAAGAGGTCCGAGCATACTGCAAAAGCTTTTCCTTGCAGATTTATCAGGATGAGCCTGCAGGCCCCATGCAGACTCCTGGAGCTGGCAGCGCAGAGCCTGCTGAGAGACCTGTACATGGATACCTCCACCCTGGATGAGCTGCCTGGGGAGGTCTTCCCCCTGATGTTCATGGAGGCCTTCAGCAGCAGGTGCTATGAGATTCTACAGGCCATGGTGCAGACCTGGCCCTTCCCCCACCTCCCTCTGGGATCCCTGATGAAGACACCTCATCTGGAGACCTTGCAAGCTGTGCTGGAGGGACTTGATTCACTGGTGTACATGAAGGTTCACCCCAGGAGGTGGAAACTTCAAGTGCTGGATTTGCGGGATGGTGATAAGAATTTCTGGACCACATAGTCTGGAGCCAGGGCCTTGTCCTGCTCCCCAGAGGCTAAGAGGCAGACAGTGGATGACTGTCCAAGGATGGGAGAGCATGAACCCTTGATGGTGTTCATACATGAGCCCTTGAAGGTGTTCATAGACGTTGGCCCCAAGGACAGTACCCTGGATGAATGGCTGAGCTACGTCTGTGGCTGGATTCATGACAAAAGAGGTTTAGTAGAGCTGTGTTGTAGTAAGGCACAGAATTACTCAATGCCCACTTCACATTTCAGAAAAGTATTGGAAATGGTATACACAGACAGTATCCAGGAGTCGGAAGTCCAGAGAAAGTACTCGCTGAATAGACCAGGAAAGTTTGCCCCTTACCTGAGCCAGTTAAGCGAGCTTCACAAAGTCTTGTTAGCCTTCGGTTATGATCATGAGTTAACTGTATGTGCCCAACAGCAGTTGGGGTCTGACTTGGAAACTCCATCCCTCAGCCTGGGCTGCCCTGAGATGCTTTTTAAAAGAAAGGTCAATCATAACAAAGAGCACTGGGATAACCTGCACAGGGTTTTCAAAGATCTGATGGAGAAAGCTAGAAAGCACCATTTTCATCAAGCTGACACAAGAACAGAAAAACAAACACTGCATGTTCTCACTCAAGTGATGAACAATGACAATGTTCATCATTGGTGTTGAGCAATGAGAACACATGGACACAGGGAGGGGAGCATCACACATGGGTGCCTGTCGGGGGGTGGGGGTTTGGGGAAGGGATAGCAGGGGGTGGGGGGTATAGGGGAGGAATAGCATTAGGAGAAATACCTAATGTAGATGATGGGTTGATGAATGCAGCAAACCACCATGGCATCTGTATACCTATGTAACAAAACTGCACGTTCTATGCAAGATTGGACAAGGAAAATGTGGCACATATACACCGTGGAATACTATGCAGCCATAAAAAATGATGAGTTTGGGTCCTTCATAGGGACATGGATGAATCTGGAAACCATTGTTCTCAGCAAACTGACACAAGAACAGAAAATCAAACACTGCATGTTCTCACTCATAGGCAGTTGTTAAACAATGAGAACTCATGGACACAGGGAGGGGAGCATCACACACCGGGGTCTATTGAGGGGGACTAGGGGAGGGAGAGTTGGGGGTAGGGAGGTTGGGGAGGGATAACATGGGGAGAAATGCCAGATATAGGTGACAGGGGGATGGAGGCAGCAAACCATATTGCCATGTATGTACCTATGCAGCAATCCTGCATGATCTGCATATGTACTCCAGAATATAAAGTACAATAAAAAAATTTTTTTAAGAAAAAGAAATTAGGATTGCAACTTTTGCTTTTTTCTGTTTTCCATTTGCTTTGTAGATTTTTCTCCATCCCTTTATTTTTAGCCTATAGGTATCATTGCATGTGAGATGGGGCTCTTGAAGTCAGCATACAAAGTAGTCTTGGTTCTTTAGGCAGCTTTCCACTCTATGCCTTTTAATTGGGGTATTTAGTCCATTTACACTCAAGGTTAATGTTGATATGTGTGGATTTGATCCTGTCATCACGATGTTAGCTGGCTATTATGTAGACATGTGTCATTGCTTTATGGTGTCAGTGGTCTGTGTACTTAAGTGTGTTTTTGTAGTGGCTGGAAACAGTCTTTCCTGTCTATATATAGTGTTTCTTTCCTTTAGGAGCTCTTGTAAAGCAGATCTTGTGATAATGAATTCCATTAGCATTTCCTTGTCTGAAAAGGATTTTATTTCTCCTTTGCTTATGAAGCTTAATTTGATGAGATACGAATTTCTGGGTTGGAATTTCTTTTGTTTAAGAATGTTGAATTTGGGCTCCCAGTCTCTTCTGGCTTGTAAGGTTTCTTCTGCTGAGAGGTTCACTGTTAGTCTGATGAGATTCCCTTTGTAGATGACCTGACCTTTCTCTCTAGCATCTTTTCTTTCGTTTTGACCTTTGGGGAATCTGATGATTATGGTTCTTGGGGATGATCTTCTTGTGAAGTATCTTACTAGGGTTCTCTGCATTTACTGAATTTGAATATTGGCTTCTTTAGCTAGGTTGAGTAAGTTCTCATGGATGGGATTCTGAAATATTTGTTTTTCGAGTTGTTTGCACTCTCCTCATCTCTTTCAGGGATACAAGTGAGTCATAGATTTGGTCTCTTTACATAATCCTATATTTCTCGGAGATTTTGTTTGTTCTTTTTCATTTTTTTTTTTTTTTTTTTTTTTTTTTTGTCTATTCTTGTCTGTCTGATTTCAGAAAGCAGTCTTCAAGGTCTGAGAGTCTTTCCTTCACCTGGTCTGTTCTGCTGTTAGTTCTTGTGATTGCATTATGAAATTCTTGTAGTGTGTTTTTCACCTCTGTCAGATTGGTTACATTCTTTTCTATACTGGTTATTTTGTCTTATCAGCTCCTGCATTGCTTTCTTGTGATTCTTAGCTTCTTTGGATTGGGTTTCAGTGTACTGTATCTCAATGATCCTTGTTCCTATCCATATACTGAATTCTATTTCTGCCACTTGAGCCATCTCGGCTTAATTCAGAACTCTTGCCGGAAAGGTGGTGTAGTTGTTTGGAGGAAGGAAGGCACTCTGGTGTTTTGAATTGTCAGAGTTCTTTTGTTTGGTCCTTTTTCATCTTTATGGGTTGATGTTTCTTCAATCTTTGAAGTTGCTGACCTTTGGATTTTTTTTTTCTTTTATCCTATTTGATGACCTAGAGGAGGGGTCCTTAAACCCTGGACCATGGACTCTTACCAATCTGTGGCCTGTTAGGAACTGCACTGCACAGCAGGAGGTGAGTAGCAGGCAGGCAGGCAAGTGAGCATTACTGCCTGAACCCTGCCTCCTGTCAGATCAGCAGTGGCATTAGATTCTCATAGGAGCACAAACGTTATTGTGAACTGCTAATGCAAGGGATGTAAGTTATGTGCTCCTTATGAGAATCTAATGCCTTCTCCCACCTTGCATGGAAAAATTATCTTCCATGAAATGGGTTCCTGGTGCCATAAAGATTGGGGGCTGCTGACCTAGAGGGCTCAAGTGTGGTATCAGGTGGATTCAGCTAACTGACTTCATTTCTGGAAGATTTTCAGGGGCCAATGCTCAGCTTCCAACTCTTGGACTATGTGCCCAAACTCTGGGGGACTTGTATCAGCCCTGACTTTGTTCTCTGGCTCCTCGGGGTTAGGAATCCACTGTGCTACATGGCGGTGAGTTGGGGCTCCAAGATGCTGGGTGGTGTCAGCCAAAGTGTTTTGTAGTGTGGTGACAGTAGTATTCATTCATTGTTTATATGTGCCTTATTTGCATGTGCCTCATTTGCCTATGCCAGCAGCAGTAGCTGTGGCAGGGTGGTGGGGTGCATGCTTGTTGGTTGCAGCAGTGTGCTAGTGGGAACCAGGGTGCCTGCCTCCAAGTCAGTGTTCACTGCAGTGCTAGAGGCAACCCATTGGTAGGGGTGTGGGGGGCACCCTGCTGGCAACTGTACATGCAGTCATATTGGAGGTGGTGTTGGCACAGGGTGGGGTACTGGCAGGCACAAGTCTGTGTGCACCCTCTATGCACTGCATTCAGGGGTGTTTATTCAGGGCAGCAGGGAGTCTGCTGTTCTCAGCCTGGTTTCACTCCCACGGTAGTGTTGGTACAAAGGCGGGGTGCTGGTGGGGATGGAGTTGGTTGGCTCTGTGCCTGCCAAGGCTCCGACTGAAATGGTGGTTGGCAGAGGATGGTGGACGGACTGCACTCTGGAGGCAGCAGTGGCTGGTGGAGCAAGAAACTAAAACTTGCCCACACACACACGGCCAGCAAAGTGATGTAGGGGGTTATCATGAGTGGGGGTGGGGGGTGGGAGCAACAATGTGGGGAGGAAGCAGATGGGCTGGTGCCCGGCTGTGAGAGCCGCCCTGCTGGAGCTGTCTACCAGTCAAGCACTGTCGCCAGTGTAGGAGCTATGATGTGGGCCCCTAGGGCGCTCAAGGCTGCTGTGCAAGCAGGTGTGGCCGGGCTGGGGTCACTCAGGCTGGACTGATCTTGTCTGATGGACAAGACTGCCTTGCAGAGTTCAGGTCCAACAGTTCCTCTAGGGCTAAAGTATTCTATGAAAGCAAGTCAAGCCTAGGAGGATGGCTGACCCTGGTCATGCTCTGTTATAGATGCTCCCTCACCAAACCCTCTGAGCTTCACATCAGCTGGCTTACTGCCCCTTCCACTTGTCTAAGCAGCTCTCCCTGCTAACTCCAGTGTCCACGGTGGTCGAGGGGTTTCCTATTACCAGGATTCCAGAGGTCAGTGGTGAGAATGGGTGGGTTTCTCCTTGCTAGTTGAATTCACCCAGTCCCCTGGAGTCCTTGGGGGCCTGGAATGACCACTGGTTTGTGGTAGGTAGCCCCGTGCTGGGTTTCTGCCTTTCTCTCCCTTCAGCCAGCTTCCGTGTCTTCCCTCTGTCTGCTCTCAATGTTTTTCCTCTAAAGGTCTGTTATGAGTGTGCCAGTCATCTCAATCCCTTCATGGCAGCTGTTCTACCTGGCTGCTCTAGTCGGCCATTTTGCCCTCACATCCTATTCCTAATCAGACTTTTACACATTAGTGTTAGGATTCAGTATGGTTTTGTTTTTCTTTTTTCTTTTAGACTAGTTAAGTGCACTAGTGAGAAAGGGAAAAAGAGTAGAACAAGGAGTTTAATCTGTAACTGACTGTGAACAATCCATTGAGGTAACTCACTACCCGCCTGGTTTTGTTTTTAATATGAAGCATAGATAGATTCATTTGTTTTTATTTATATTTCATACTATAAAATCCCCCATCCTTGTTGAATTAATTAATGCAATTTTAATGTCGTTTCTCCATATAAGAACTGTTTTTAAAATTATGTCTCCCATATCCTGATTATCCTGTTCCCAACTCTTTATCCTTTCCACCTTGTTCCACCCAACTCTAAATGTAACTAGTTTTGTTATTCTGGGTTTCATTTCTTCTTCTTTTTCCTTTTTTAAAAAACAAATTTATTGAGGTGTAACTCATGTACTAAACAGTTTGCCCTTTTAAAATGTACAATTCAGTGGTTTTTATTGTATTTCTAAAGTTGTGCAAGCACAGTCACTATCTATTTTAGAACATCTTCATTAAAAATCCCATACCTGTTAGCAGCCACTCCATATTCCTCTGGTTCCCTCCCCACTCTACCCTCAGGCAACCACTAATCTAATTTCTGTTCTCTCTGGATTTGCCTATTCCAGATACTATATGGTTTTTTGTGACTGGCTTCTTTCACTTAGCATTATGTTTTCAAGGTTCATCCATGTTTAGCAAATATCAATACTTCATTCCTTTTTATTGCTGAATAATCTACTATTTGGATATATTACATTTTATTTATCCATTCATCAGTTGATGAACATTTGGGCTTTTTCCACTTTTCGGCTATTATGAATAATGCTGCTGTGAACATCTATGTCTTGGGTATGTTACAGATCACAGTTTGGCAATTTCTTACAAAAATAAACATATTATTTCTACAGGATTTGAGTAGGAGTGGTGAGAGCAGATATCCTTGCCTTGTTCCTGATCTTGGCAGGAGGGCATCTAGTTTTTCACTGTTAAGTATAATGTTATCTGTAGGTGTTTTGTAGACATTCTTTATCAAGTTTAGGAAGCTCTCCATTTTTCCTAGTTGTCTGAGAGTT